AAATGGGGAAATGTTTGTGTTGTTATTAAACATACAGCATTAAAAAAAAAAAAATATTGAATTTTTTGAAAGCACGGGGAACACAACTTTATGTACAAAGTACCAGTTTAACAGCTCCTGAAGTGGAGAACATATAAAAAGGCATGGCGCGGCAATGTCAACCACTAGAATATACAACGCCCCATTTTTTTTAGCGGGAATATTTTCAAAGATTGATCGACAGTTAATTTTCTGGATCATAAATTGAATGATGAACGTGTTTGTTAGTTTAAGACTTCAATGCCTTTCTCCACAATCAACTTCGCAATACATGAAATGGAATTGGCAGAAGTTCTTAGACACGTTTTGTTTAATTTGCGCTTAAATATCTAATCAGCTCAGAGAGATTGGTAATTTCCAGCCACAGCCATGTGATTTGTGGCGCTGTTCATGTTTACAGTGTGAACGCAAGAGCTAGAGGCGTTTGGACGATCATTGACCGTTTTCTGACCGTGACTAGACGGCACAGCACAGGCCTACGTGCAGAAAGTTATTTCATTACTGCGAATGCGATGGCGTCCAATTTTAGTGGAGCCCTTCGCCTCACCGATTTAGACGACTTTATCACCCCATCTCAGGTTAGATTAAATTAATAATTGCGGTATTAGTATCCTGACTGTGTTTGATTTGATTCCAAGTGCATGCTGATTATGCTGCATCTATTTCGTTAAAATGCTCTTTTTTTCCGAGGGGAAACTGCGTTTCCTTCATTTCAGGTTGAGGAAATGGTATTAGATCTCAAGAGAAAGTTTCTTCGCATTAATTATTTTTAGGACTCCTGTATTTTTTTTCTGCTGCCAGCTGGTGCACGTGCATAAGTTATCAACCAAATGGTTCCTGGACTTTCATTGATTCTGATTCAGAGTCATGAACATTGATGAATCAGTAGTATTCATTATTAACAGATTAAAATAGACCTACCTGCCCACTTCTGTATAAATACAAGTTTGTATGCAGACAAAGGGTTGGTCGCAATTCAGTGGTCCATTTTATTTGTCTGACATTTTCCTGCAGGAATGCATCAAACCTGTCCAGGTGGAACGTCTTCCAGGTCGATCGGGTCCCATCAAAGTTCAGTCCGATGGCAGCTATGTACAATTGGCATTGTAAGATAAATTTCATTTAAAAAAAGAACCCAGCTATACTGTGTAAAAATTCTAGGTACTTCTGCTTAAAAGTTTGTAATCACTGTAATCACAGTGTTTTGAATTGAGAATCCTATAAAACTAGCAGACCCTAAAGATGATATGCCCAGCTATTGTAGTTGTCCCAACTGCAGTTGGTGGTCCCAGCTACAGATGAAATATCTAAATTTAGAGTGGCATTGTCTCTACTGTAATTGTGACATTTCAACTATAGTTGGGTTGATTTTATATAGTTGGGACATAACAAAAACATGCAATATGACAAACCAGACAGGCACATTAAAAACCTTCCAACACTTACAAACATATAGAAAGTTTAGAGAAGTTTGCAGTATTGAGGAAGGTATAGTGCCTAGCTGCTGTAAATTCACATAGGGCTTGATTCCATTGTATCTAAAGTGCAAAGACTGCACCACTGGATTCCTGCAGAATGAAGGATTTGGGAGGACTCGGGAAGATTCCATATTAAAAATGTTGGGGAGTTAGAGGAATACAGATCTTTTTTCTTTCCTCAGGATGGTGAAGCAACACAGCTCAAGAAAGCCCAGATAACGTTGAATGATTGTCTTGCATGCAGCGGTTGCATCACATCGGCGGAGAGCGTTCTCATTACACAGCAGAGCCAGGAAGAATACTCAGGGTTCTAGAACCAACAACAAACTTCCAGAGGTAAAAAAAAAACACATGAGAATGGGTTCGTGCACAATAGTGTTGGGGCCTCCATATATGAATGCCAATCTATCATCAACATCTCCATCTTCCTATGTGAAGAAACCTCCTCTGAAGCATACTTACACATTGGTTGAAGTGTAAACAAGCAGGTGCAGACTAACTCAAGGCATAAAAAGACAAAAATGTGCAAGTAAAAAAAAAGAAGCTGTTTGGGATGGATTGATTAGCTGAAGGTGACAGCACTCACTAGGTTGGTGACCAGAGGGTTGGTGACCAGAGGGTTGGTGACTGAAGAACTCGCTGGGGCAGTGATTTCCGCAGGCAAATGGTATCTGGGGAGAAGTCCTTAAATGTAACTGTGTTAAATTTTGATGTCAGGGTCACGAAGAGAAGAAGCTAGTGGTGGTCTCAGTGTCGCCTCAATCCAGGGCATCGCTGGCTGCTCGGTATCATCTCTCAATACAGGAGACAGCAAGGAGACTGACTGGGTTCCTCAAGGAATTAGGTAAGGGGCATGGCTAGGGACTAGAGAATTGGGGCGGGGGATGTTTACGTTACATCTCTCCCTACAGGAGACAGCAAGGAGACTGACTGGGTTCCTCAAGGAATTAGGTAAGGGGCGTGGCTAGGGACTAGAGAATTGGGGCGGGGGATGTTTGCCTTACATCTCTTTCTACAGGAGACAGCAAGGAGACTGACTAGGGTCCTCAAGGAATTAGGTAAGGGGCGTGGCCAGGGGCTAGAGTTATCACCATCTGGATTTTTTTGCATTTGCAAGACTATTAACAAGAGTAAACGAAAGAAAATCCTGTGTTTTCCCACAACAGCAAATCCATTTGTATCTCAAATTTCCAAACGAGATATGAATATGTATTTGTAGAATTTATATCTCGGTGTTGGTTCTCACCACTGTAAAGTTTTTATTATTGCTTGTAAACTGTAAACAAATAGAAGATGCACAGAATCACTAGTTTTTACTTGCAAATGAATTTGGTTCAAGGGCCTATGCAAGATAGTTTGAATTGACTTAGAAACTTACTGTAGAATTATTGAGAAAAACCCAAACTGTATCCTCAATTTTTTTCTACTTTAGCTTTTCAAATCTATTCTATTTGCAGGTGTGCATCATGTGTTTGATGAGACATTTGCCAGGGACTTCAGTCTTCTTCAAAGCCAGAAGGAGTTTGTTGATAGATTCAGAAGACGAGAAGAGAAAGGGACTGTACCGATGCTGGCTTCTGCCTGCCCAGGTATACTCTGGACACTTGTCTTAAAAAATAAAATGCAAAAAACTTCGGCAATTCCACCATAATGAAAGGAAGTGTAATGTCCCTGACAGAGCCAATTAACCATGATATCTAATTAATGATTCAGAAAAATGATCAAAAACTCCTGAACTGTAATCTCCTTGACCATTGCTACAAGATGGATTTATAAGATTTGAAAAATATCGTCTCAGGTTGGGTGTGTTACGCCGAGAAGACACATGGGTCTTACATCCTGCCTTACATCAGCACCACCAAGTCCCCTCAGCAAGTCATGGGCTCGCTGGTCAAGGATTATTACTCCAAGCAGAGTGGTATCCGACCACACCACGTCTACCATGCTACCATCATGCCTTGCTTCGACAAGAAGTTGGAGGCGTCACGAGAAGATTTTTACAACGATGTCTACAGCACGCGAGATGTAGATTGCGTTATTACATCAGGTAGATTGGAGTTGTGGTAATGTAAAGATCAGATTTGTAAGTTAGTTGATCACAAGTCAGTAACATCTCATTCACAAGTCCATCACAAGTCCACAAGTCAGTTACAAGTCAATCACAAGCTAGTCACAAGTCCATAACAAGACAATCACAGGTCAGTTACAAGTCAATCGCAAGTCAACCCAAGTCAGTCAGAAGACCATCACAAGTCAATCACAAGTTAGTCACAAATTAATCACAAGTCAATCACAAGTTAATCACAAGTCAGTCACAAATCAATCACAAGTCAGTCACAAGTCAGTCGCAAGTCACATCACAAGTCATCCGCTCCCAAGTCATCCCCTGTAACTTGTGACCAGACTTGGGATATTACAATTGACAAGATTACAACTGTTAGAATCATATTTGTTTAAATATGTTTTTTTTTTGTGTAGGAGAAGTTGAAGTGATGCTTGACAAAGAGGGACTTTCGCTAGCTGATATGCAACCCCAGGATCTAGATCCCATGTTCCCTGTATCCAGGGATGGACAGTTAGTGAATCACATCGGAGGTGGGTCTGGTGGATACCTGGAACACATATTCAGATACGCTGCCCGGGAGTTATATGGAGTCAGTGTAGAACACATTGAGTACAGGACTCTGAAGTAAGTGGTCATTAACCTTGTAATTATGCAATAAGAGAAAGGGAATACTTTGGAAAACTTGCGACGTCAAGGTGTTCAGTCTGCGAGTTGCTAAATTTGAACACATTCAAACTCTGGCAAACTTTGGCTTGAAAGATTTCGATGTGAAATGTTTTGTTTATACTTAACATATTTACAAGAAATATAAACCTCCCGATAGAGAGGTGCAGTGGCTCGCCCAAGGACACAACATATGGCCAGCAGCAGGATTGAACCCCTGATTATGAGTCGCAAACCCAACCACCATACACATACCCAGCATTGAAACATAAAGGAACACTGAAATGTTTGTGCTTGTTTGTTTTTTTCACCGAAAGGAACAAAGACTTCAGAGAGGCCACATTGGAAGTGGATGGCGAAATCAAACTCAAGTTTGCCCTTGCCTACGGCTTTAGGAATATCCAGAACCTGGTGCAGAAGGTCAAGCGAGGGCGGTCTCCGTATCACTTTGTGGAGGTCATGGCTTGCCCATCTGGTAAATGTCACACTTTGTATTTTCATACCTAAAGCTTTGCCCCTGACAAGGGATATTTTGTATTGAGCTCAACATGTATACGCTCAATGCTGTGTGAGAGACTTTGAGCAATATATAAACAGTAGATCACTGCTGTAACAACCAGCACTATATCAAACTTGTGGCTATAACACCCACCCCCCATAGCTCCCGAATTTCATGGTTGAAGATTTCTAAAATGAGCAACCGTTAAACTGAAAAAAAAACCAGTCTTTAGTTCTTCCATAAACATTGGTAATATGTGAATATAAATACATGTACACTTTTCTGTGTGACCAGGCTGTGTGAATGGTGGGGGTCAGATCCGCCCACAAGACGGGGAGCAACCCAAGGAACTCTTGCCCCGCGTGGAGGCACTCTACAACTCCCTCAACACCAGGAGACCGGAGGACAACCCGCTACTGGACCAGCTGGTCTCTGATTGGCTGGGAGGGGCAGACACTGAGAAAGCCCACGCTATGTTGGAGACAGCGTACCACGCAGTGGAGAAGATGAACAATGCATTGACTATCAAATGGTGATGTGTCCAAGTCTCTTCTTCAGGGCTATGGACTGTTTGCAGGAAACAGTAGAGGGCACTTCAACCAATCCTGATAGCTCCATCGAGGGAGATAGGGTGTGCATACACAGGTTCACACGTATTGTAGGAAGTACAATGGTTCGCGTGTCTATTGTAATAAGTACGCACTGCTAATTTCATTCTGAATCCGCACAAATCTGCATTATCATCATGGGAGTGTCAGGCGCCGTCGACAATTCATTTTTCTGGGCAGTGCAGTGAGGGAGGAGATGTTTAGTGCGAAAAACAACAATTTGGTTTTGTGTTTTGTATATTTACGTATATTTCCAGATTTACCACACAGTTATGGCGATCGTGATAAAGTGCAGTAACATTGAATGGGGCGTAATTGTATCAGGCTTTCCAACCATGTTATGATAACTCATTTTGTGAATTTTGAGACAAGGGGCTTCTTTAACCAGAGCGGATCACATTTGATTACATCATCATAGTTTGGGAACAAGGTGTGTGAATACATTCCAGAAATCAAGACGATAAATTCAATTTCATTTTGAGTGCACCTAATATCTATTATTTCATCCATGAAATCATATAAGACGAAAGCAATTTTGTTTTTCAATTTTTATGTGCATCTTTATAAGGCAATATCAGAAACACTTTCAAATGAACAATTTGGAAAGTATTTATTGTGCATTATTCAATTGCCATTGGTAATGTGTATATTTAAAAAATTTTTTTTACAATAAATAAAACAATTTCCAGCAAAGAAACCTCTGTACTGTTGGTTTCTTTATATGGGTGTCATAACTCATCAAAAAAGTAGTTTTCCAAAACACGTGTTGAATATATAATTCAAGTTGTTAAAACTTGTGTGTTTATCACAAATTTAAAATTAAATATTTTGAAATTTCTTTTGAATGTTCACTCTTTTGTCAAATCCAAAAAGGACTTTCAAGATTTTTCTTTCCTTTTTTAGCATAGAACTGTTATAAGTTATGAAATAGAAACCATTTCAAGACATCTTTTAAAATTGTTCCTATAAATTCCCCCAAATGTTCCAATTTTCTTTTAAAAACAAACCCCTCACAATAAATTAGTTTAATGAAGATCCACCATGAAGGGCTAATCTCAAGTCTCCAGCGTATCAAAGTTTTTTCATCTGTGTTAAATTGTATAAATCCTAATGTCTTTAACCGTAAGGCATCTTTTGGAAAGGAACGCTCCTGAATCCTTTAAAATCCTCCACTGAGCAGAAACAGATGTCTTATTCTTTGTATTTCAAGGAGTATCAACCCCCATGCATAGTAACAGCCGCTGGGGTCTGTTTTCCTCACTCACCCCGAGCATTCACCCTTTGCACCTGCACCGTATTGCATTGCATTGTGTTTATCTCCTGATGAATCCATAAATTCATAAGTACTGGGAGGTTTGGGGTGGGGCAGGGAGTGACAGGCAGGGCGGTTTAACAAGCACGGCAGTTTGTGGTGGGACTGGTAATAACAGGCAGGGCGGTTTTAGGGCGGGGCACGGAGTGACAGGCAGGGCGGTTTTGGGCAGGACAGGGAGTAACGGGTTAAACACTGATAGTCTTGAATATATTGAACCCGCTGTGAGCCGTGCTGATAATGACACCAGATATCTGTGGGTGCCAATGAATTTCTTTGATGTCGCTCTGCCCCTGGTGCACAAACAGCAACTGTGGGGCTATGTCATCAAGCCTGGACCCCCCAGTCTGGCCTTCCATCACTGTCTCACGTTCTCGTTCCAGCGATAGGTCCCAGAGGGTTACCTGGTCATCAGAGCCTGCTGATGCGAAGACTGTGCTGTCCACGGGGTTCCACTCCACTGACGTGATGGGCCCAGTGTGGTGCTTGAACTTGGCGACAGGGGGACCCTTTTTCTGAAGGCGAAAGAAAGAGAGAGAGAGAGATAAACAAAGAAATATTATTAAATATTATTAAATATTTAAACAAAGAAACAAACAAAAAACAGTGATTGTTTTAAAATGTAATGAAATTCATGACAATTTGTATGCCTGTACATTGATACTTGCCACATTTTCCACCATTTCATAGCAAATCTGATTGACTTTCTGTTGAAGTTTGGGGACATTTTTATACAGTACTCAGGAGAACTTGAAGGGGGTAGTGAAAAAGGGGTTGTGCAAGCACTCAGCGGGTAGGCAAGTGAGATTTCCTTGCCTTCCCTTGCAAACTTTGACCCAGGTTCGAATCTAACCCAGGCCCATGTTAGCTTGTTGAGATACGGCAGATACAATAAGGGAGTGTTATTTAGTTTGAGTGAATTTGGGTAAATGCAAGAGTGTTTAAGCAAACTAAATAGCACCCTCGTATTGTGTCCACTAAATCTCAAAAAGGCAAATGTCGGTATGGTCGTCAGTCCCTTTCTGATTCTGCAGATTTTTCCTCCAGAATATTTTCCAGCGTTTTCCTCCCACATTTAAAACTGAATGTTTCTTTGTCATATTTCCACAGATTTCTTCAGGCTTATAAGCTAAGGTGCAATGAACACTTTTGTGGAATACTGACTTTCATCGTGAAAAAAGTAATGGTAATTGTAAATTATGTTTGGTTTATAGCGTCTCTTGCCTGCAAGAACCTTGGATCCATCTTGGATCCATCTTGGATCCATCTTGGATCCATCTTACCTGGAATTGTCTCAAGTCCCAGACATTCAAGACACCATCATCACCTCCAGACAGGATGAAAGGATCTTTCTGGTTCCAGTGGATGACATTTACGTCACTACTGTGTGCTTCTTCCATCATTATCATGCATGCTTTGCTTGGCGTCGCCCGAACATCCCAAATTCTGATGCTTTTGTCGACAGAACACGATGCAAAAACCTTTACATGTATTAAACAAAACAAAATTTGTTGTTAAAAGAGAAAGCTCATTGAGTTGTGCTCAATGTACAGTTCAAGTAATTTGCTGATTAACTTCATTACGGATGGGATATTGTTTACTTGGATTATTGATTTAAAGGGCTATTTTCCAGAGGAATTTATACTTAATATGCCTACATTTTTCTCAGTTGGTGACCATTGTAAATCCTCCACTGACTCCGTGTGAGCTGCATAAGGTCGCTGGTCTACATACCACTCCCCTCCTTCTTGTAACTTCCACAAATGGATATTTCTCCGACAATCTCCAGTAATCAGATTTCCTGAAAAAAGGGAAAGGATTACATTTCAATTCCAACACTGTGGGTTATTTTTACTTGGATCACAGTTTAAGCAGACGACGTGTCTAGGATCTTCTAGACACCCTATTGGCAATTTTGGACACCCACTTTGTTATGCAAATTATGCATTTAAAAGCATAAATAAATAAGCAGTTTGTGCACTCTCTTTTTCCATACAGGGCAAATTTTACACCCAACTTTGTCATGCTGACTAAGCCCTTAACAAGGTTCCTCTTAATTTCACCAGAAATTCTGCAATTTTACAAATCAAGTGATGATTTGGGTGGTGTGTGTGGTTGAGTATTAAAAGTTAAAATTAATGTTGTGCAGTTGTCTTTTAGCATCAAATACATATATCGAACTTTTTGTATGTTGCAATGTTGTTGTAAATACGCATGGAAGTGCCATTTATTGACCAAACTAAAATTCTACAAACTGATAAGCAACTTAACATTTCGACCCCTAGCAAAGATATTTCAGACTTTTTTTTTTAGTTGAGAATGTAACAGCATACCTGGTATAGTAGGACACCAGTCCATGGCAAATCCTTCAATCTGATGACCTGTGAACGTGAACAAAGGCTTGTGGGATTCCTGTCTCATGAATCGTCCCATGAGCTGGGCGTTACCTACAGCCTGGAGGGCGCCGCTTAAGTCCCACAGGTGGGACCGCGCCAGTGTCTGACCAAGTGGCTGCCACTTGCTTCTGCCCAATTTCTGTGCTCTGTAAAAACAAATCAAATCAAGCGATGAATAACAAGGAGCAACTCAGGTGCCGAAAACGTAGTGTGATTTTTTTTTTTACCATCGTCTCGGTAAAATCTAAAAAACAAAGAAGAAAGAAATAGACAAATGCCAACTGGGCTATACAATGCTGTCAGAAGAAGCTAAACGATGCAGTTTAGTCTGTATGAAAAGCCAACTTGTTTACTAAATAAGAGTATCCTACACCATTCTCTCCCTCTCCATTACACTCTCCTCCCTCACTTGATACACCCGTTATCAGGTGGCACAGCTTGTTTTTATAGATATTATTATTAGATATGCTCAGCTAGACTCATGCTTCTTGTTCCCTAACACAAAATTTACCCTCTCTACAGGATTTGCTACCTGTTTTAAAAACGCTTTGTTGTAAAAGTGAAGTCACTTGACTTTTACTTCCGGCGTTATGAGAAGGTCAAAGTTAGGTAAATTCAGTATGCAAACAGAAGCTTGAATTTGAAGAGGTGAGGTGGTAGAGTCACCTCATCTGCACTTACTGCAAACCCCCAAACCGTATCTCACTCAAGAAAGCTTACCCTTATTCTGTTTACAGAGCCGAGATGTTTCATCATCGCTGTCTCCAGTTCTGGTTTGCTATCCTCGTCATCGCTGTCACTGTCCTCATCACTGTCATCATCATCGTCTTTCTGGCTGGTACGATGCAGATTTGTCATCTTCATGACAATGACATTGTTCAGGTGGGCTTTCTCAGCCTGGGTGCCTGAGAACCAGTAAAGTCACATCTTAGGTTTGATTTATGGTGGGTCATGGCTAATGAGGTTTTGTAATAGAAATGTACTATAAAGTACTATAAAAACTTCATTAGTAGGCCTACAGAAAGTGATAAGTGAAGTTTTGGTTTGAATGTAATGGGAGATTTATTTTAGATTATGGATCAAAATACACAAAATTAACATGTTGATGTTAATAACCATCAACAGAACAATTATTTTTCATGAATGAAACAAAGTGCTTGTGACATCATCAAAATTCAAATTTACCAGCAACGGCAAAAAGTGTGTGAGGATAAGTTGTACGGTTTCTCCCCGAGACTGTCTCTAAGAACATCAAAACTGAGGCATGGTGCACCTGCAATAAAATTATCATCATCAAACATTGTCAAATACTAAAATAGAAAAGTAATAACCCAAAAACAAAACAGAACAAAAACATCCCCCCCTTAAAAAGAAAAGAAAAAGACTAGGCTTGACTAGTCAAGCTGGATCTGAAAGTTTGACAGCAAATTAAGACAACGTTAATAATCAGTGACTCAGTCAATCAATCAATCAATCTGTTGACAGTAGGTTGGGCCTGCCATCCTTGGTCAAGCAAAAATAACACATTAACAATAAAACTGATGAAAATTGACAATGATTGATTCAAGTATGTTACAACTTGTTCTTTAGGAAAAAGAAAAACAGTTCGCACTGGCAAAGTTAAATGATGAATTTAACTTAAAAAATAAGTTACTATTTTATGGAACTGACATTATAAACAGGCTTGTATTAAGTTGTAATGAATTGTGTCAAGTGTCCGAGAACTGGGCAAGAAGTACCTGTCTGCGCTTGATGATACATGTGGTATGCGGTTTCATCACGGACTAACATCTCTCCTTCGTCGAGCGGATCTCCGGGTAGATAAACCCTCTTATCACCACCCTCCCCATCTGATTCTTCGATGTCGCTGTTATCTGGGTCCACAACTTCCATAACTTCTTCCGCTTCGCCGGATTGCGAAGTGTCTTCGCTGTTTGTTTCCGAGTTCGATGCCATGCTTGCTTGGTTCCTTCGCCGAGATCCAAAAGATCGTACATACAATGTGTAGTAGCTGGATACCAACAAAAAGTGTTGTTTTCGTCGTTGAAAACACGTTGAACACGTCTGGGAGCACGCTCCTTATTATTATGTTGACATTTCTACACGTGCCAAAGGTCAACGAACTAATTTTTACCATTTATTTGACTTCGGCTTCGTAGCAGCTTCGCCTTAAGACTCAAGTTTCCAGATGAGTTACATGTTCATGTATATATGTGACTCACAGTGGTCGTGACTTCCTTTTCTTTTACAGCAATATCAAATCGTGTCATCCATATTCGCTTAATTTGGTTTGAAAGTAACTCAATGAAAATGGTTTCATGATTAAGGAAAAGCCACAGCTGGAAGGGCCGATATTTCAATAAGGGTCGCTATTTCGAAATCTCGGCTTCGTTTCATCTGTGTCTTAAGGAGATTTTAGGCCCCCGATTTTGGGTACTCTGGCTAAATTTTGGAGCATTGTCTGCTTTAGGAACATTTGTATAAAATTAGGCCAACGGTTAGAATATTTCTGTTTGGTTTGCTTCCCAGTGATTCAGAAGTCGGAGATAAAGCCGAACCAGTGACAAGCAATGGTTTCGAAAACCCCCATATTTTGTGTGATTTGCTATGGCGTGTCAAACGTTGCAATATTCAATATTTTGCAATATATATGTTGGATGTTCAATATGTGTTTGTTATCTTTTACATTTATGTGCGATGTTCAATATAAGTGTGCGATGTTTTTTATTATTTGCGCGTTGTTTAATATATTTGTGCGATGTTTTACAATATATGTGCGATGTTCAATATATGTGTGCGATGTTTTACATTTATATGCGATTTTCAATTTATATGTGCGATGTTTTTGACGATATATATGTGCGATGTTTTCAATATTATGTTCGATTTTTTGCATTAAATGTGTGATGTTTTTTCGATACAATTGTGTGTGTTGTTTTACAATATATTTGCGATATTCTATATGTGAGCAATGTTTTACACATATGTTTGACATTTCGAGCTATTTGTATTCGATGTTTCATCGGTATGTTTGCATTCGATCTTTTGCAATATGCATTTGATGTTTCCCTTTTCATTCGATGTTTCGTTAAGAGTCAAAGTCTGTTACTAGACCGCGAAAGTCTGACTAGTTTGCCTAAAGTCAGTGTATGAGACGTCAGGGGATCGCGTAAAGTGATTAGAGCCAGACCTAAACGGTAAAAACCGGAATTGTGGGTAATTCTTTAAGCATACGCAATGCGTTCATCATTGTTTGGGCAGTACCCCCAGCTGTGCCTGTACTACCCATAGTGTTATGTGCATCATCTATGTATTGAGGAGTGCATAACACATGGCCTGAGCTCCCAGGCCGATGTGCACCTGTCCCGTTTAATGATCCAGTTACCTGATGTAAAATTGGGCAAAATTAGATGTTTATGAAAAAAAAATCAAATTGTAAGGGGTTAACCTTGCATTTTTTTTTAGCAAAATCGGGACAAAAAAGATGTTTCTGGAAAATTGCAGATTGTATGGGGTTAGATGTTTATGAAACATTTCAAATTGTAAGTGGTGAACATTGTATATTTTAGCGAAATTGGGCAAAATCAGATGTTTCCGAAAAAATTTCAGATGTAAGGGATTAACCTTGCTTTTTTAGTGAAATTTTGCAAAGTTAGATGTTACGAAAATTTCAAATTGAAAGGGGTTAACCTCGCATTTTTTTAAAGCGAAAATGGGAAAAAATCAAATGTTTCTGGACAATTGCAGATTGTAAGGGGTTAACCATGCTTTTTGAATAAGATTGGGAAAAATTAGATGTTCATGAAAAAAATTCAAATTGTAAGGGGTTAACCTTGCATTTTTTTTTAGCAAAATAGGACACAATCAGATGATTCTGGAAAATTGCAGATTGTTAGGGCTTAACCTTGTATTTCTAGCAAATTGGGCAAAAGGAAATGTTTATGAAAAATTTTAAATTGTAAGAGGTGTACCTTGTATATTTAGTAAAATTTGGCAAAATCAGATTTGTATGAAAAATCTAAAATGGTAAGGGGGTTAACCTTGCTTTTTAGCAAAATTTGGAGCATATTTTACTAAAATTGGGCAAAATCAGATGCTTCTAAAAAATCCAGATGTAAAGTTTCCGCAAAAACAGCTGTTGAAAAAGAGCCCAATGTTGAACTTTACTGAGTCTGAGGTCTATCGAGGGGACGATCCTTATTTCAACTCCCGGAGATTCGCTGACAGTCTCTATTTTTCTTTTTAAGAAAGTCGAAATAGCTGAAGAGGGAGTTGAGAATCTATATGTGCCCAGATACAAAGAGTAGGAATCTACGCGTCTGCCTTTTGAAAATACACAATTGCGGTGTTCATTGTTGCGTAATGATCCGCCTAGCACGCGACTGTTTTGCACATTAGGCTGTGTTATGCAGCTTCCTAACAAACCAAACACACTGGGCTCATTATATCGACTTGTTTTTACCCATTAAGGTAAAGCAAATGGACCCAGTAATCTTCCTGGCGCGTTTGCTCACCTATAAAGACAACTTTTCTCAGTTTAAGGAAAATTCTAAGGTAACGAAATGGCCGAGTGGTTACGATTCGTCGTCCACGGTTAGCGGGGTCCCGGGTTCGAATCCCGCTGGTGTCTTTTTGGTTTTTAACGTATGAGTTCAATCATTTACTATAAGAGATTTAATTTCCCGTCGTAAAGTACCAACAGTACCTTAGCTTAATCGGTAAGCACTGCTGCTGGTACTGTCCGCGAGTTCCAGGTTGGCGCCTTCGTACAGGTTCAGGGCATGTGGTCCACTCGGAGGATCAGGGCTTAGGGGCCGCCCTGTTCCTCCCTTAGCTCTTTGCTTTTACATGGTGCCTGGCCCTCCGGGTTATATGGATGGATAGGGAAGGAAGTGTGTATTGGTCGGGGACGCCGAGACCCCGGAAGAGAACTAAGGGATCGGCTGGGGCATTGTTATGGCTCAGACCGATCCCTGAAAGCTTGACTAGCACATAACTTTTTGATTTTTTTTACCCTCTATCTTTTATACTTTGGTTTAGTTTGATATCTACAGCTGCTCGGCAGGTCTACGGGTAGTATCAAAATTGAAACAAAGGTGTATGTCATAAATCAATGAATATTTCATAATTGACTATAATCAAAACGGAGTTTCGTTTGACTATCATTATATAATGACGCGATTGCCAATTGACGTAAGAAACGCCATGAATTATACCGGGAAAGAATAAAGATGTACATTGTAATATAAATATTATTGATACATCTTTCCGTCACATAACGTGTCTTTAATTTTGAGCATTCCAAACAATACAGTAATTCGCACTAGTAATAGAATGGTATATGATAGCACGATCAATGCGTCTCTATTAATTTAAAAAAATATGATTTAGGCCCCTATGTGTGAAATATTCTTTGATTGACTATGAGCATTCCATACGAATGAGTTAATTCGCAAAATATAGCAACAACAAAAGAGAAAGGAAAAAGAGAAAATTCCTATACCCTAAAAACTGGAAAAATAATTTGTTTTAAAAAAGTCATGGGACACTTCATGTATTGGTTGAACAGTTTGCAAGGGGTTAACCTTACATTTTAGCAAAATTGGGAAAAATCAGATGTTTCTGGAAAATTGCAGCTTGTAAGGGCTTAACCTTGCATTTTTAGTAAATTTAGATGTTTATGAAACATTTCAAATTGTAAGGGGTGAACCTTGCATTTTTTAGCGAAATTGGGCAAAATCAGATCTTTCTGGAAATTTTCAGATTGTAAGGGGTTAACCTCGCTTTTGTAGTAAAATTTTGCAAAATAAGATGTGTATGAAAAATTTCAAATTCTAAGGTGTTAACCTTGCTTTTGTTTAGTAAAATTGGGAAAATTTAAATGTTTATGAAAAATTTCAAATTGTCAGTGGTTAACCTTGCATTTTTTAGCAAAATCGGGCAAAATCAGGTGTTTATGGAAATTTCAGATTGTAAGGGGTTAACTTTGCAGTTTTAGCAAAATTTGGCAAAATCAGATTAATATGAAAAATCAAAAATTGTAAGGGGTTAACCTTGCCAAATAAGGGCAAAATCAGATATTTCTGGAAAATTGCAGATTGAAAGGGGTTAACCTTGCTTTTTTAAGCGAAATTGGGAAAAAATCAGATGTTTCTTGAAAATTGAAGATTGTAAGGGGTTAACTTGGCATTTTTAGCATAACTGGGCAATATCAGATTTATATTAAAAATCTCAAATTGTAAGGGGTGAACCTTGTATTTTTAGCGAAATTGGGCAAAATCAGATCTTTCTGGAAAATTTCAGATTGTAAGGGGTTACCTTGCTTTTTTAGTGATATTTGGCAAAATAAGATGTGAATGAAAATTTTCAAATTGTAAGGGGTTAACCTTGCTTTTTTAGTAAACTTGGGCAAATTTAAATGTTTATGAAAAATCTCAAATTGTAAGGGTGAACCATGCATTTTTTAGCAAATAGGGCAAAATCAGGTGTTTATGAGAAATGTCAGATTGTAAGGGGTTCACCTTGCATTTTTAGCAAAATTGGGCAAAATCAGATTTGTATGAAAAATCAAAATTGTAAGAGGTTAACCTTTGCCCAATTAGGGCAAAATCAGATGTTTCTGGAAAATTGCAGATTGAAAGGGGTTAACCTGGCATTTTTAGCATAACTGGGCAATATCAGATTTATATTAAAAATCTCAAATTGTAAGGGGTGAACCTTGTATTTTTAGCGAAATTGGGCAAAATCAGATGTTTCTGGAAAATTTCAGACGTAAGGGGTTAACCTTGCTTTTTAGTGATATTTGGCAAATAAGATGTGAATGAAAATTTTCAAATTGTAAGGGGTTAACCTTATTTTTTTAGTAAAATTGGGCAAATTTTAATGTGCATGAAAAATTTCAAATTGTTAGGGGTTAACCTTGCATTTTTTTAGCAAAATACGGCAAAACCAGGTGT